GGTTTCAGTAAATTATTAGATTAAATTTTAAATAATAATGTAATCTAGATTCTCTAGATCTAGACTGTCCTTGATCTAGATTCTAGATCTAGATCTAGAATCTAGCTGTGAAGTGGAAGATCTAGTCTCTAGTCTAGATCTAAAATCTAAAGTATGAATCTAGACTCAGTCTAGAATCTGAGAAGATTCTAGATCTATTAATTAACAATTATAGAATCTAGATCTAGATCAATTTTTATAAATGTAGGCTTACATGGAGCCGATCAAAACTAGATATCTAAATTATCTAGATCTAGAATCTAGACGCAGTAGTATAGGCTAGTAGAGTAGTAGTAGATCTAGATCTAGTATCGGTATTATTATACTATTGCTAGAAAATAAAAAAAATAATTACCTTTTAATTTTTCTAACCTTCACAGAATAACATTTGCTTCGTTTCAGCTTTTGGGATTGCTTTCATGTTAGATTTGTAGGCATTCTAGAGTGCTAGATCGAGATTCTACTTGAAACCTTGTCTGTGTCGTCCTCGGTCGAGCAGAGCCGGCGATTTAAATTTTATTAATTAAATCTACTTTGATAACTTGTTTTATCATGACTTGTGTGCAGATCTGTTTACACATTTATGTGCAGTGTTAAAAATAACTTAGAGTATTAGAAAATATTGAGAAACAGCTTAAAAACACCGTCGATGTGACAATGGAAATATAGTGGGTATTGGCCATGTTTACAAAATAACTCTCCGGATCACGTGACGCGGAAGCAAAATAGTGTAAATGTCCATTGTACTAGTAGGAGAGAGAGGATTCGGCTTTCACAGTGGTTTAAAAACAAAGGGAAAGAGATATACAAAAGCGTGGGGTGGTGTCTATAGAATAAATATAATCAAACCGCAGCTACGGTAATCGTTATACAAAACAACCATTAGTTCAAAAATGCACGAAAATTAGATTTTGTCGGCCTTTTGTCTTGTCGGCCTTTTGTCTTGTCGGCCTTTTGTCCATGTCGGCATATGTCCCATCACCACGATTCAGAAGATAATCACTTTACACAAAGCCTATTATTTTCTTGGTCAATAATTATTCAACTACTATTCTCGTATAAATAAACATAAAACTATCCTTGATATCGACATTACACGAAGTATCTCTCACGTTCTCCCTAGTCCGAACTATCTAGCTTGCATACCATAACAACCCGTTCCTATGGCAAAACTTCACTCTCTTTCATCCGCGTCATCAAACATGCATTCGTCATATCTAGTAAAAAATCCAGTAGTGGCCAAGGGGCCTACGACGAATTCCCGAAAACAAAAGCCCGATTTAGAATGTCTATTTTAACATTATAATTTATGATGTAATGCTCACATGTGTCCCTTCAAACGACCTTCGGGCAAGTGGCTTTCCGAGATTGGTCGCATTCGGGCAAGTGTCCGTTCAGGCATTTGTCGTATTCCGACAAGTATCCATTCGCACATTTGTCTCATTCGGGAAAGTGTCCATTCGGTCTTTTGTCGTATTTGGGCAAGTGTGAAATCGGGTATTTGTCGCATTCGGATAAGTGTCTTTCAGAAAACTTGCGGGTCCCTTGGCCACGTAGTCGACCTGCGACTGTCATGATGGTAAAATGTGTGAATTCTTTACCTTAATCCCTTTATGTGGAGCAAAAAATATAAATTAGTGGTAAAACAAATACAATTTTCAATAGCATTTTCAGAAAAATGGTCCCTTTTTCTGTTAAAGTACTAAAGTTGTTTTTGAAAAGTCGGTAGGAAAAATGAAAATCATGTAGCTACTTAATAAATAAGTTTGTCATTCATGTTTTTATATTATTTCTCCAGTAAATAGTTATTATTAAAGTTATAACTCCGTTCAATGATTAGACCTCCAAGTAATTTTTCAATAAACTAAACCTCGGCTTATTTTTGTAGTCTAATTTTGTTCACATTGCTTAGTTAAATGGTTTTTTGTCTTATCTGACAGGTGGTACTTTATTAATGAACTACAACACATTTTTATAATCTATTTAGATTTAACATTAACAAAACAAAAACGACGATATATCGTGTTAGTGTGTTCTTTAACTATATACACCTTTCATGAATAATATCAACTTTATTTAGATATAGGAGAATAGAGGATGGGGTGGGGGAGGTTAGCCAGCTTATTTTTACAAGCCTAACAATGTGCATACACATTAATGATCATTGCAAGAATGCAGATTTATTTCCACTTTGCAGTCAGCTTATTCGAGCCCTTAATAAAGAATAAATCTCCACGAAAAAAACGTTGTTGTGTTCTCTCAATTATTTAGATTTTTAATGTTGTTATTGATTACATAGTTACATGGTATTGTTGTGAAGAACGGCTGTTAAGATACTAAGTGTGAGAATGCAAAACTAGTACGATTATCTCTTTAGCCTGCGTAGTTGTATAGGGAGAAGATCTGGGTGCCTACCAGTGCCTAACCAAGGATGAAATGCAGAACAATCAGACACTGAAACAGACACGACATTTTATTATCTGACCGAGGAAGCGTGTCGAATTTAATTTCAAGACTTACTCCCTGAGAATAATGAGGACTTTAAAATATACAGCAACAACATCAAGACAGCTTTTGATAAGTGGTTCGAAGCATCCCGGCTAGGGCCAACTGTGCAAAACTTGAAAGAATGTATCCTGGTTAATAAAGTACTAACTTAAGTGGACAAAGGTGTGTTTAGTTATCTACATGAACGAAAACCGAGAACCCTGGATACTGTGACAGACCTTTGTCAGAAATATCAGCCGGCTCACCCTGACAGACCCATTAGGAAAATGCAGGACCATAATATCTTTACTGCACAAGCCCAGAATGTCAACAGGGACAGATAGTCCTTTGGAGAGGGTAGCCGTCACATGGAGACTAACATAAATAGAAGGAACCCTATACCAGAACAGAGATATTGTTCCCGATGTAGACAGTCAAGACACACAACTACAAGCTGCAGATATAGAGGGGCAAATATGGACAGGACCATTCAATGTTTTGAGTGTCAAGGATTTAGTCACTTTAAGAGAGACTGTCCAAGTGGGAAGGGGGGTATGTCCTCCAGGGGTATTAATCTCCTTAATAGTGGTAGATGACTATCATTGGTTCTAAACAGTAGTAACAAATACTAGACTGGGTACTATACAGTGCTGAGTAAGGGATAGAATTGTGAGGACACTTAGGGATACTGGGGCAAATGTTTGTGGGGTTAAAAGGAATTTTGTACAATCGCATCAATATACACAGAGAGGAGAGTAAGGGTATAAGGGTTTGGTTGAATCGTTCACTCGTGGCCCATCGCAGTTATCAATATTAAGACACCTTAATTTACGGGTAGCGTTAGGGCTGCAATTTTCACTAAAGGACCATGTGATTTTATTCCGGGGATTATAAAAGTGATATCTGATCGATGTGATAACCAGATTTCAGAATGGATGACTAGACATCACCTAAACATGGTGTAGACTTGGGAACTAACTAGGAAGGAAATGGGAGCTATGAAAATTTATAGTGACATTAGTGAGAAAAAGATAATAGAAGAATCATCAACCGTCCAAAAATCATTGAATAATGCTAGTCTGTGGACCCCTACACAATTTCAAGAGGAACAGATGTATGACCCTAGCTTAGCAAATCATTTAGACTAGCTAAGATAACCTCTAGAAATTTCTCTAAAACCACAGAACATGGACTTGTTGTTAAAGATAGTACGCTAATGAGAATCTTTAGAGACCAAACCAAGGAATGCAAACAATTGGTGATACCACACAGATATAGAAACATCATATTCAATCAGGCTCACGATCTGTGTCTTGCTGGACACATGGGTAGGAGGGAAAAAAAGCAGAAAGTTCAGTCAGCAATTTATTGGCCTATAACCGATAGGGATATATCAGGATACAAACAATATTTTAGGGTCTGCATGAATAAAACTAGAACGCCCAGTTGGCACCTATACAGACAACTTATTTGGTTTGCAGGCCATTCGAAAATATAGCAATAGATATAATTGAACCGTTACAACCATATTCTGCCAGGGGACATAGGTTTGTCTTGACCGTTGTCAATTTTGCTACGAGATGGCCTGAAGCATTCCCTCTCAAAAATACAACTTATGGGGACATTGTGAAATGTTTCATACAGGTGTTTTCGAGAACTAGAATCCCTGATACAATACTATCGGATAAGGGAACCGAGTTCACATAAGAAATTACTAGGCAAATTGCGTGCTTGATGGGGATCAAACATACCTTCAATATCTCATACCATCCCCAAAGGAATGGTATAGGTAAACGCCTGATGGCACGATAAGTTTAATGATGGGTATTATACGTAAGGGAAATGCTAACGAAAGGTATGTTGAACGCATGGAATGATGACGCATAGTGTAAAAGTGACATTTTTGTGTAGAGACCGGTTGCTGGGTATTGTATGTGAGTAAGTCTGATTTTTTAGTCTTTGTGAAAGGGTGCACATGTGTCCAGTAACAGGATGAAAATAAGAAGTGGAGAAATCTTTTCATCTTGTTGATTAGTCGTCACCTGTGTTGTCTGGATGAATAATTGTATAATGCTTGCCCACGGTTAAAATATCTTCATATGGTAGTGGGATTCAAATATGGTATTGAATCGGACTGCTCTAACCTCTCACATAGCTTAACAAATCGCACGTTTCACAATCTATAACGTTGACATCTTGTGGTAAATTTAACTTTAGCTCACGTCTACATACACAACGTAATTTGATATGAGTAGGATTAATGACTAACTGCAGGAGTCGAATGTAGATGTTAATCAACACACAGCATCTGATAAATCAATAAAACAAATCACACGAGCTAGTTGGGGTATAATTGGTTTCCTATACCACGAGGGTCATGTATACTCTTCGTTAGTATTATAATCTTCATATCTTGACTCGAAGAATCACCTACATTCCCTGTATTAGAATGATATTATATTCCTTGCTGTTAATTATCACCGATTGCATACGTGTGAACATATTGTAGTGATGACTAAGCTTGTTTACAACAACCAATAGAAATTGTTCACGTTTGATAGCTAATGTTATCCTACAAAAAAACTGTTCCATGGTATGCCTACAATACACCAAAACTGTTTGCTTTAAAGCAAGTGAAAAATCGTATTCAACCTTATATATTTTACGGGTTTATTTTGCACTAATTCACTTTTTGAACTTCAAATCATTTTCTAAGGATAACGTAGTTTAAAATTATATGTATTTGTTTAGAGTTTTATGGAAAATGATAGATTAATTTTATAACTAATACGTAGTTGTTTTATGAATAAAGTAATAATGTAGTAATAAAGTAATAATCGGTAATTAGTTCAGAATTATTAATCTTCGCTTTAAAAATAACACATGAAAATTATATTCTTCAGTTGGTTGTAGCTCATGAAAATGAAACTTTTGCTTCTTATTATGGTATGTTTTGCAGTTCTCGTGACTACAACAGAAAGGTGGGCAATCTTGATTTTTGTTTCTTTAAAAAATACAAAAATAAAATATATATAAATGTATAATTCAGAGCTTAACCCAAGTATCTTCCTTTAAAAAGTTTTTGTTTCAAAACTGGTTTACGTTCTAATATTAAATTCATGTACTTTCAAGTTTAAACAATTGTGAGAAAATATAAAAAATGTATTTTTCACGCACAAACAAAAAAAAACACCAATTCACCGACTTCTAAATCACATTCTGTTTATCTAACTAAACATATATCTCCCCATGTTTACTTCTACCCAAACAGCTGCCATTGTGGTAAGACAATGTTTCGATGCATCAATCAATCTTATTGTTGCGATAAATACAATTGCATATTTGGGTAAATAGCTTTTTTTTTTCATTGTTTAAAATTATTCAACTGTAATTTGGAACACATATTTTAAGATTTCAATCAGAGGCTTAACCGCGCATAAACAGTTGACACGTATACTTAATTGTGTTAGCAGGGATCCCTTCCAAAATTAAAAAAAAAGAACGAAGAAGAAAACATTAAAAAGACTCAACCGTTATATGTAGTTACACACAAGCATGTTATGCGATGATCTACACGCTAATATAATACGTGAAAAGAAATTGTTGTAAATATAGTGCAGTCTCGTAAAAACTGGACAAAAAATGACAGCTGTAGAACAGCACAAACTCAACAAAACTGATTAACAAAAATTTCATTAGTAGGACTTACGTACAGACACCTAGAGTTGTAAAACTGGACGTATCTCTACAGTGCGGGTGCTAAATATTTTTTTCTCAAATAATTAAACATTTTTTAATTATAACATCATTATAATTAAACATGTTTCTTTCTATTTTAACAGAGATAAAGGTGGGCACTGCATTCCTGAAGGAAAGAGGAAATAAAAAATTATAAATTACTTTCATTCTTTTACATTTATTCAGTTTATAACAATGCTTTAAATTTTAATGTATACATGTCTTTTGTTGTTCGTATGTTTATTCGAAAAGATGCCCTGTTCTACCTACGTCGTTTTCTATAATGGTGACCCGTCTAAAGAGCGCACGACAAAAGAGCGCCGACATAAGAGCGCAGACAAAAAAGTGCCGACATAAGAGCGCCGACATAAGAACGCCGACATAAGAGCGCAAACTAAAGATCGAAAAACAATATTTAATAAATAAAAACAATAAAATTAACTTAGATCAGACGGCATCGTTTAATGTTCTATACTAAAATAGACACAAATGCTAGCGTATATATTAAAGTTTGTAAAGATTCCAGTTGTATACAAGAGATCTACGACAAATTCCCGAAAAACACTAGCCCGATTAAGAATGTCAATTTTTATATTATAATTTATGATACAATGTTAAGTTTTTTTCTGGCAAACGACCTTCGGGCAAGTGTCCATTCGGGCGATTGTCGCATTCGGATAAATGTCCGTTCAGGTAATTGTCAAATTCGGGCAAGTGTCTTTCGGGAAAACTACCGGCTCCCGTGGCTTAATAGTTGATCTTTGACTGTCATGATGCTAAAATGTTGGATTTTTTTACCTTTATCTCCTCATACATCTTATGTCGAGTAAAAAAATAAAAATAAGGGGTCAAAAGAATATTTACAAAATGAATTCACGTGAAGACCACTAAACCAAAATTGTCACACTTTTTCACTTTCGAGAAAACGAAATTTAGTGTTTGCCGACTCTGGTACGTGTTACATTTAGAATTAAAATTATTTTTCTTATGAAGATAGTGTTCAATCCTTGATATGCAGGTTTATTCATTTAGTTGCCAGATCAAACCACGTGATCAGAATAAATTTTTAAAAATACATAAATTCTTTTAACATGTTTTGATTTTCCCTTGTAATTCTACTAAATTCAAGTTAAATGATTGAAAATCACGGCTCCCCGGTCAAAAACATAAACCCCCCGCGACATAAACCCCCTGGACAAAAATCACCCGCGACATAAACCCCCTAGACAAAAACCCTCGCGACATAAACCCCCTGGACAAAAAACCCCCGCGACATAAACCCCCTGGACAAAAAACCGCCGCGACATAAACCCCATGAACAAAACTCCCCAGTGATATAAACACCCTGGACAAAAACCCCCCGCTACATAAACCCCCTGGACAAAAACACCCCAATTGAGGTTTATATAAGGAAAAACCAAAGATGATGAGAACCAAAATTAATATGTAAATACAAAACAGACATTAGAAAAAAACTGTTATATTTTTATTATAACTTTGAAAAGACAGATTGTGAGCGATGCTTTGCAAGCCAGCAAGAGGAAATAAATAATTATGATTTATTTTCATTTAACATTTATTCAGTTTAAAACAATGTTATAATGTATTCATTTCTTTTGTTGTTCGTATGTTTATTCATAAAGATGCCCTGTTCAACCTACGCCATTTTCTATAATAAATTAGACACAAGATTGCGTATATATATATTAAAGTAAGTAAAAAATCCAGTAGTGGCCAAGGGGCCTACGACGAATTCCCGAAAGACAAAAGCCCGATTAAGAATGTCTATTTTAACATTATAATTTATGATGTAATGCTCACATCTGTCCCTGCAAACGACCTTCGGGCAAGTGGCTTTCCGAGATCGGTCGCATTCTGGCAAGTGTCCATTCGGGTATTTGTCGTATTCCGGCAAGTATCTATTCGGATATTTGTCTTATTCGGGAAAGTGTCCATTCGGTCGTTGGTCGTATTCGGGCAGTGTCCATTTGGGTATTTGTCGCATTCGGACAAGTGTCTTTCAGAAAACTTCCGGGTCCCTTGGCCAAGTAGTCGACCTGCGACTGTCATGATGGTAAAATGTGTGATTTCTTTACCTTAATCCATTCATGTAGAGCAAAAAATATAAATTAGTGGTAAAACGAATTCAATTTTTACTAGCATTTTCAGAAAAATGGTCCCTTTTTCTGTTAAAGCACTAAAGTTGTTTATTATGTATGAGCATATACAAAAAATGCCGAGCTCGACAAAACACACTATAGCAACTCTAGAACCGTTCGCAGAAAATTGTCATTTTCTTCCTTAACAACGCATCGATACGCTTTTCTAAATTGACGGTAGCAAGTTTTAGAGGATTGAACGTTCAGTAGGAAAAATGAAAATCATGTAGCTACTTAATAAATAAGTTTGTCATTTAAGTTTTTATAGAATTTCTCCAGTAAATAGTTGTTATTAAGTTATAACTCCGTTCAATTATTAGACACGTTTTTATAGTATTTCTTCAGTAAATAGTTTTTAATAAAGTTATAACTCCGTTCAATGATTAGACCTCCAAGTAATTTTTTGGTCCAATAAACTAAACATCGCTTTATTTTTGTAGTCTAATTTTTTTCTCATTGCTTAGTTCATTTTTTTTGTCTTATCTGACAGTGGGTACTTTAAAAATGAACTAACGATATTTTTTAAATCTTTTTAGAACAATTGAATAATTTTATCTGTTAAATGTAAAAGGTCATGTGATTGTAAATTAATTTCGTCGCTGGTATCAACAATATATAGGTATAGTTTAATGTAGAAATTTCCGTATTTTTAATTCATTGTTTGTGTTTTTAGCTATGATTTTTAATTAAGTAGGACATGGTGTGTAGCTTCTAATATTTAACATTGCATAAACAAAAACGGTGATTTATCGTGTTGGTGTGTTCTTTAACTAAATACACCTTTTGTGAATAATTTCAACTTTATTTAGAATAGAGGGTTGGGTGGGGGAGGTTAGCCAGCTTATTTTTACAGGTCTAACAACGTGCATACACATTAATGATCAGTGCAAGAATGCAGATTTATTTCCACCTTGCAGTCAGCTTATTCGAGCGCTTTATAAAGAATAAATATCCACAAAAGAAACTTTTTGGTGTTCTCTAAATTATTTTGATTTAAGTGTGGTTATTGATTACATATTTATATGTTATTGTTGTGAAGCACGACTGTTAAGATAAGAAGTGTGAGAATGCAAAACGAGTCTGATTATCTCTTTAGCCTGCGTAGTTGTATAGGGAGAAGATCTGGATGCATGTCATTACCTAAACAAGGATGAAATGAAGAACGATCCGACCCTGAAACAGACATTATTGAATTAAATTTCAAGTTTTACTCCCTGAGAATAATGAGGACTTTAAAATATACAGCAACAACATCAAGACAGCTGTTAATAAGTGGTTCAAATCATCCCGGCTGGAGCCTACTGTGCAAAACTTGAAAGAATTTATCTAGGTTAATAAAGTCCTAACTTCAGTGGGCAAAGGTGTGTTTAGTTATCTAAAAGAACGAAAACTGGATACTGTGACAGACCTATGTCAGAACTATCAGGAGTCTCACCCTAAAAGACTCATTAGGAAAATCCAGCATCATAAAAACTAAGAATATTAACAGGGACAGATGGTATTTTGGAGATGGTAACACACAACTGTAAACTGCATATATAGGGAGGTAAACATTGACATGACCATTCAATGCTTTGGGTGTCATGTTTTTATTAACTTTAAGAGACTGTCCAAGTAGTAAGGGGGGTATTTCCTCCAGGGGTTTTAATCCCCTAAATAGTGGTAGATGACTCATTGGTTTTAAACAGTAGTACAAATACTAGATTAGGTACTATACAGTGCTGGGTAGGGGATATAATTGTTAAGACACTCAAGGTTTGTGGAGTTAGAAGGAATCTTGTGCAATCGCTTCATTATACAAGGGAAGAGTAGAAGGGTGTGGGGGAATCGTTCACTCGTGGTCCATCGCAGTTATCAATATTAAGACATCTTACTTTCCGGGTAGTTTTAGGGCTGCAATTTTCACTAAAGGACCATGTGATTTTATTCCGGGGAACATAAAAGGAATATCTGACCCATCTGATAACCAGATTTCAGACTGGCTGACTAGACATCACATAAACATGGTACATACTAGGGAACAAACTAGGAAGGAAATTATAAAGGAGGTGGGAGCCATGGTTATTATTAGTGGCATAAGTGAGATAAAGATAATAGAAGGATCATCAACCGTCCAGGAATCATTGAATAATGCTGGTCTGTGGACCCCTACACAATTTCAAGAGGAACAGAGGAATGACTAGCTAAGAAAAACTCTAGAACTTTTTCTAAAACCACAAAACATGTATTTGTTGTAACAGATATAACGCTGCAAACAACTGGTGATATCACACAGATAAAGAAACCTCATACTCAGTCAGGCTCACGATCTGTGTCTTGCTGGACACATGGGTAAGAGGGAAAAAAAGCAGAGAATTCAGTCAGCAATTTATTGGCCTATAACCGATAGGGATATATCAGGATACATACAATATTTTAGGGTCTGCATGAATAAAACTAGAACGCCCCAGTTGGCACCTATACAGACAACTCATTTGTTTTGCAGGCCATTCGAAAAGATAGCAACAGATATCATTGGACCGTAACAACCAAAGTCTGCAAGGGGACATAGGTTTGTCTTGACCGTTGTCGATCTTGCTACGAGATAGCCTGATTCATTCACTCTCAAAAATACAACTTATGGTGACATTGTGAACTGTTTTGAATACAGGTGTTTTCAGGAACTAGATTCCCTGATACAATACTCTCTGATTTGGGGATCCCAGTTCACATAAGAAATTACTCGGCAAATTTCGTGCTTTTTGGGATTAAACTGACATTTACACCCCCATACCATCCCCAAAGAAGTGCCTGAATGACATACGAACGAGTCATACATTTGAGACATCAAATCATTGGGTCATGTGAGATAGCTAAAGCATCCATAGAAGATAAGGCGAATCTATATAGATCTAAAATGAACGTCGGTAGACATTTAAGAACGTTTAAGGTTGGTGATCATGTTAGGAGTCAATGTTGGTACGAAAGGTATGTTGAACGCAGTGGCGTAGCGAGGTCGGGTGTCACCCGGTGCGGCACTTAATGGTGTCATCCCCCCCCCCAGAGGCATAGAGACCCTTCCCAGGGACAAACTTTCAAATTTTCGATTTGCACCTCCCCCTTCAAACTTTCGATTTGCACCCCCCCCCCCCTCAAGTTTTTGATTTGCACCCCCCTCTCAAACTTTCGATTTGCACCCCCCCCCTCGAGTTTTTCTCTATATATTTTGCTATTTTTTGCCTTGGTGTCACCCCCCTAAATGGTGTCACCCGGTGCGGTCCGCACCCCCGCCCCCCCCCCTCGCTACGCCCCTGGTTGAACGCATAGTGTGATAGTGGCGTATTTGTGTAGAGACTGGTTGCTGGGTATTGTGGGTGATCTAACTGATTTTCTTCGTCTCGGTGAAAGAGTGTACATGATTCCTGTACGAGAATAAATATAAAATAAGAAGTAACATATTTTCATCATGTTCATTAGTCGTCACATGTGTTGTCTGGATGAATAATTGCATAATGCTTGCCCTCGGTTAAATATCTCCATATGGTAGTAGGATTCAAATATTGTATTGAATCGGACTGCTCTAACCTCTCACATAGCTTAACAAATAGCACGTTTCTAAAACTTTGACATCTTGAAGTTAATTTAATTCAGCTTAGGTCTACATACACAGTGTAATTTGTTATCCGATTATCACTGATTGCATACGTGTGAACATATTGTATTGATGACTAAGCTTGTTTACAACAACCAATAGAAATTGCTCACGTTTAATATTCTAATGCTTGACTACAGATAAAATATTCCATGACATGCCTACAATACAACTCGAACTGTTTGCTTTAAAGCAAGTGAACAATATTATTTAACTTTATATATTTTACGGTTTTATTTTGCCCTAACTCACTTTTTTCAAATTCATATAATTTTCCAAGGATAACGTACTTTAAAATTAAAGTGTATTTGTTTAGAGTTTTATGGATAATTATAAAGTAATTTCATATCTAATGCATTATTATTTTTATGATTGAATGATTATGTAGCCTAGTGATAAAGTAAGAGAAGGTGATTAGCTCAGAATTATTCATCTTCGTTTTTAAAATAACACTATACAATTCTATTCTTCAGTTTGTTGTAGCTCATGAAAATGAAACTGTTGCTTCTTTTTATGGTATGCCTCGCAAGTCTCATGGTTGTATCAGAAAGGTGGGCAATCTTATTTTTTCATTAAAAAAAACTTTAATCAAATTAATTTATATAAATGTATCATTCAGAGTTAAACACGAGTATCTTCCTTGAAAAAGTTTTTGTTTTTAAACTTGTTTTAGTTTAAATATTAAATTAATGTATTTTCATGTTTAAACAATTGTGAGAAAATATCAACATTTTACGCGCAAATCTAACTTGATTTTCTCCACTTTACTATAAAGAATGATACACGCATGAGCACACAATCACAAATTTACCGACTTCCAAATTACATTCTGGTTAACTATCTAAACATATCTCACCCAATGTTTACTTCTCCCCAAACAGCTGTTCGTGTGGTACGACAAATTTTAATTGCACCAAAAATGCTGATTGTTGCGGGCATTATCAATGCAGTTATATGTAAGCAGCATTTTTTTCATTGTTTAAAATTATTCAAGTTTACTTTAAGAGTTCAGTGCTAAAAGTACTTAAGTCACATTTTTGTGCATGCATTGATCGTTATTCCTCTTGTTTAACTTTATCTTATAAACAAATAGTGATACTGAAGTATTGATTTAATTTGCTTTCTTTAATTTTTTTGGAACACATATTTTAAAAATTCATTCAGAACTTAACCGCCTTTATGGATCACACAGTCGATTAGGCCTACTATTATTACATTTCAAACTTGATTTATTAAAAATGCCTCCATATGTTAAAAAAACATAAAAAACCTCCCTGTGCACAAAAAACTAAAATAATGCTAATGCGTGAGATTTCTTATATTTTAAAGTCGAAATGTTATTATTTAAATACATTTCTACTTTAAAAAGGGGCCATCGTGGTCGAGTCGGTAAAACACATGGTTGCTAAACCGAAGTCTCGATTTCGAACCCTCGTGCAGATGAGGCTTCATAGCTGAGAACAGCAACTCTTCTAGGAGAGTCAACTCCAAAATCAAACAACTGCTGCCTTGCAGTTTGTTCTTGCTTGGACAAAGGCTATAGAAGAAATTCGGAAACGAAAATCAGGTTGAAATCGCCTCAATAGCGCATAAACAGTTGACACGTATACTTAATTGTGTTATAGGGGATCCCTTCCAAAATTAAAATACAGAACGAAATAGAAGAGAACATTAAAAAGACTCAAACGTAATATTATGTAGCTACACACTAGCATGTTAGGCAATGATCTACACGCTAATATAACACGTGTAAAGAAATTGTTGTAAATATAGTGCAGTCTCGTAAAAAAACTGTGCAAAAAATGGCAGAACATCAGAATCTCAACGAAACAGATTAAAATATTTCATTAGCAGCACTTAAGTACAGACACCTAGAGTTGTACAACTGGACGTGTTCGTATCTCTACAGTGCGGGTGCTAAATTTTTTTTTTCTCAAATAATCAAACATTTTTAATTAAACACATCATTATAATAAAACATTTTTAATTATAACATCATTATAATAAAACATGTTTCTTTCTATTTTAACAGATCTGGACGTGGTATGTGCAAGCCTAAGAGAGGAAATCAAAAAATAAATTAAACCCCCTGGACATTACCCCCCCCCCCCCCCCCCGACATAAACCCACTGGACAAAACCCCCCGGGACATAAACCCCATGGACAAAAACCCCCGCGACATAAACCCCCCTGGACAAAACGCCCCTCGTTATAAACCGCCCGGATAATAACCCCCGGACTGAGGTTTATATAAAGAAATAATAACGATAATGTGAACCAAAAAATAAATAAAAATTACATTAAATTAATTTAATTTTTTATCACCTAAGAAAATAGCTTCTACCTAAAAAAATGCTATTCGAAATCAAGGAGTGACCTTAGTTGTATTTGATCAAAGATCGGGGACCGATAACACCTTACAGCAGCTAACGGTCTTAAACATAAACTTGCAACCAATTTCTATTATGATTGACTTTGAAATGGCTGTGATAAAAATTTTGAAAGGGTATTTCCATATTGTGAGGTAAAAGGATGTTTCTTCCATCTTAGCCACAATCCTAATATATAATAGCCCAGGTGCGCAACTCTTCGCTCTCTCACACTCTCTCTCTCACTCTCTCTCTCTCTCTCTCTCTCTCTCTCTCTCTCTGTGTCTGTCCGCAAAATATTTTCGCCGGATATCACATCAGAATCTGCAGCGATATATGAAGAACTTTATACGGACTTTTGTTGAAAATAATATGTTAGATGTTTTAAATGTATAACCACAATTTTATTTAAAGAAGAAAAATAAAAAATAAAGGCGTATTCGAATGTAGAAAAACAATTTTTAATTATGCAACCGGAAAAGAGTTTATACTTTGGACAAGAACGCATTTAACAATGATGTCGCTTATTGTTTACTTTAAAAGAGCACTAAACTAATAACATTTAAGAGAATAGACCAATCAAATGTGGTCCAATTCACCATCTCTCTGGAGAAAGAAGATGTGGAGAGTGTGCCACACTATATTATACTTACAAATGAGGCCAACAAGGAGAGCAGAGTCCTTATAATCCTCAATGGGAGGAGGGTTCAATGTTGCCACTGCAACACAGACACCTGCCTAAAATGTGTGAGCATTTGAGGACTCGCGCTCTTGACGGCGTCCAGCTAGTAGATGGACAGTACAGGGCAATTGAGCCTTGGGATGCAAATGATAAAGAAGAAGTTAGGGAGCATCTAAGTAACAATAGAAAATTCTTAAAGCATTGGGACAGTTATGATGTTGACGGAGAAAGACAAAATGAAATGCTTAAAGAAGCAAGGCATAGAGAGGTAGAAGATGCCTTTGGAGTAGATGGCCAAACTGAAGCACATCATACTACTGCAGCATCACAGCAAGTTAACGAAAGCGTAACAGAAACCACCATAGAGGCCGAAGCCATGGAGACAATAGCGATCAGAAATTCCATAGTAACAGGGTCTCAAAAAGATGGGAATCAAGAAAATTTGGAGGCTGTCGACGAAACAATAAATGATATTCTTCAAGATAACACTAGTTCAGAAAACATAACGAAACCGCTAGAGAAAATTAAAAGCTCACAAAGTATATCAGCAACAAAGGTATCAGGTCAACTGTCATATAGTCAAGCAATCAGTTCAAGTAAAACTCAATTACCTACAGTAAAGCCACCTCAAAGGGTCTTGACCAGGGCCCAACGGGATAGCAAACCAGCGGCTGGAAAGTTTGGCGTTAAAAGACCACCACCATCCAGCCCTCCAGAAACAGATGTTCGAAAGAAAACCCCAAATAATTCATGCTAACTCTGGCAGCATTGAACATCAGGGGGGCTAGGGACAAACACATTATATAAACAACATAATAAATAAACACAATATTGACATCCTACTTTTACAGGAAACTAACATTTGAACTACAGAAGAAGCAAATAAACTAGATGCATAATTAATATCGACAGTCTCAAGCTAAACATCACTCGATCAGCCCTCAAGTAAATTAACATTAGAACAGTCTTCTGTTTCCCAGGTTTTTAAAAGTGCACAACCTGAATGGTAGAAAGAGATACACACCTCACCCCCCCCCTCCCCCCCCCCCCACACACACACTTCCCCACACTCAACCGAACTGGCGGATTTTTCAAGGTAGCGTGATCTCTTTGCCAAGGGTCAATTTTATGTCATGGAAAGTTTTGGAATGATGGATCAGTATGTGTACTGCAGAGACACTTCTCCCAAGGTCGTTTCTATTTCTGTCCATGGGCGACTACAATGTGAACTTTTGACTCCTCAGCTAAGGACAAAGCACAGTAAACTAAGCAGTCAAGAGAAACCTAGTTTGCACACCTTATTTTAGTCTAGCTCTTATGCCATTTTATTTTCTCCATTTGATTATTATATATGCAATTGATGTTCATGTCTTTGATGCTGTGTAAAATCTATCAAATAAATAATTATTACTGATTTAAAGGTTTAAAACAATTGAATTAATAAAACAAAAAAAAAATAAAAAGGAAAAAAAACTAATTGAGGACTGTATAGATACAGATGTTTGAAAGAGAAGAGTGTTTGCTTTTACGTGTCTCATTGTAATAACATAACTTTTCCGATTGCTTAAAATTTGTATCATTTTAATTCTCTGTAATCCCTAATTCATTTCAGCTCTACTTTAAAAAAAAAAAACAAATTCCCCCCTCTCCCCCCCCCCCCCCCCCCTCGTCCCCTCAGCCCACCACGCCGAGAAAAAAAAATCCCTTGAATCATCATTTAATTTTAATTACACATTTGCATTCTCAGTTTCAGCTTGATTTTTAATTGTTAATTTTTTCTTTATATTTAGACGTTTTGTATTACATCTATGTATATGTAAACCATCTTAAATGAATGAAAGCAGGCTACAAGTAAGAAAGAAATATTACTATTGTAATATATTGTATTTATATATCATTTGATGTTCGAAATTATGTAAGAATTTGATGTTGATGTACTTGTTATAAATTGCAAATAAAAGTATTTTAAAAAAAACAAAAAAACAACTAAACTAATAACGTCATCTTCCGAGTTTAGAATTTAAAAAAAATGAACTATTTCATTCAAATATTATTTAGATCTACGTACGCTATTTAATTTATACAATACAATTCAAGATCTAGAGATTCTAGATCATCTAGATCTAGAGATTCTACGGAAAAAACTAAACTTACACAGATTTAGACTCTACCTAGATCTAGAATCTATTCAAATAATATATTTCTATACTAAAGTATTTCAGGCCTTAATTACTTTATTTAAATCTTTGTTTATCTATGCAATTTGCTAATCTCTATAATATATAAAGCTAAGTTGTCGGGTGCCCGACATGGCACTTCCCGGCGCCGCAGGCGCTTCAAATTCGGCAGGATCTTGCCTTGGGGCGACAAAACAAGGGGGCCGGTTGGCCGAAAAGTCTACGATGAGGGGGTCAAAACTGACCTCGACTGACCGGCGCCTTATATGGGCGACAGAGGCGTATCCAGGTTTTCGTTGTAGGGGGAGCGAAATGAGCAAAAAAAAAGACGCCGAATTTTTGACACGTTCTATGTACGTGTATTAAATATATATATATATATATATATATATATATATATATATATATATATATATATATATATATATATATATATATATAAATTACTAGCTGTATGTCATTACTTCACTATGATGTAAAATAGATTGTAAGTAGCACTTGAAGAAGTAAGAAAAAAAACACACAATGTAGGGGGTCGGCGTGGTCGAGTCGGTAAAGCTCATGGTTGCTAAACCGAAAAGTCTCGAGTTCGAACCCTCGGGCAGATGAGGCTTGTTAGCTGGGGACAGCCACTCTTCTAGGAGAGACAACTCCAAAATTAAACAACTGCTGCCTTGTAGTTCCTGGTTGGACAAAGGCTATGGAAGCAAATCCAAAAAGAATAGCAGGCTGAAATCGGAGTCAATGGGCTCAATAGCGGAAAACCAGTTGACACGTAACGCTTAATTGTGTTGGAGCTCATGATTGATACATTCGAACAGTCTTGAGTTCACTGGCAGATAAATCTCGATCCCCTTCAACACTAATAATTAAGAACGAAGAAGAAGAAGAAGACACAATGTAGGCCGACAAATCAAAAAATGTACCAATGTAAACAATATATATATATATATATATATATATATATATATATATATATATATATATATGTATATATATATATATATATACACTAAAACCAAAAACAATAAACGCAACACAATCTGTTTTGTAATTCTTGTAAAAAAAAATTACATAATAATTCCTGGGACATTAATTAAGGCAAGCAAAATAGGGGAAATAATCAAGCTCTTAATATAAATATGTATATATCTACATATTTATCAAGAATTACTTTAGAATGTAATATAGTTGTTAAACAGTATTCTTTTTTTTTCCACATTTTTTTTGTCTACATTCAGAATTAAATATATCGGCATCATAATGCTAAAGTATTATAGCATAATGAAAGGTTTTTAAATCAGAGTTGGTATAAAAATACGCTGTAAATATTAAGGAAAAACATCCGGAATAATAGCTTACATTTAACAAAATTATCGGTCTTATAGTTCAGATAATACATCATTTAATTAACTACTGCTTTTTTGTGTTCTTTAAAGATCATTTTTTAACATAGTGATCAGGTATGGGTTAGATCACTGTATTGATTACACACCTTTCACTGGTAATTGCAAAAAGAATATTCACAGAGTTTTACCTGATTCAAAAACTATGATTCTGGCGGCATGGTACTTTGGTACATAGTTACGCGTTTTCCCAAATGTACTTAACAGATCAGTTCGGGGTAGGTTGAGGGGGGGGGTCAACTTCATTCACCACTGTCCGGTCACTTTAGGTCAATTATCCTACCTAGGTGTGACATTAATGTTGCTCTACACAATTCAGATGGTGAGGTGTGTGTGTGTGTGGTGAACAGAGTGAACATAGCGTCAGTTTTTAGATGACTGTTTTAAATATACATATTCAATTACACATATATACTGATTCAGAAATAGATTTAAATAAGTAGCCGTGGTATTATGACACTTTTTACAGAGGGGT